CGCCGTAGCCCGGGAGGGGGGCATCTTGGGGAGGGGGAGGGGGAGGCTGCAAAGGGGTGTTGTAGGGTGGGGGAGAGGTGTGCGGGGCAGAATCAGGAAGTCCTAAAGGGAAAAAGAGAGAGAGAAAATAGTAAACATGAAACATCCCATTTCCACAATACAAGACAGGTTGAAAAGTTGTATGTTGGCGAAGAACAGTTCTCAGCAAAGAAAAACCTCATGAAAACTTGGTCAAAAGCAACTTTTATCCCTGCTGTATCGACACCCAGTTTCCCTGCCGGATCTTTTCTGCATCCAGGGCACAAATGAACCAATTCAATAGATATTTTAAAACCGAACGCCTGAACTCCAAACCATTAGCAGCAGACTACACAGGCCGCTTGCAATCTGCTGCACCGTTCTGGCGTTCAAAATACAGATAAAAACGGCAACTGGGATAGATACTAAGATGACCTCAGCCCACATTTTATTCTCACTTTAGGGTTATCTTCCAAAGCAAGGTTTATCGGGGGTGGAATATGCCTTTAAGGCACCCCCAGCTGAACCTCAAAGTCTGCCAGAGAAATGCAATGTGACGCCACCTCCCCGTGTTGTTTCTGACTGACCAGTGGGGCAAAAACAGAGATATCTAGTGCTGAAAATTGCATGGAAATGGATGTTCAGTCCTTCTGGTTCTCCCAGTGGTTTCCACCAGGGAGCAAGGAAGCTCCACCTCTTTCCTGAGTCCAAATCCATAAATGTGGAACCACCGCCGGAAAAGGTTTTGCTTTATGAAAAATTCACAGAAACTGTTGCATAGCATTAACACCAAATGCCTCCTGTAAGGGTTGATATCAGCCCTTCAAGGTAGACCAGGTCAGGAAACAGGTATGACCAGAAATACAGAACTGATATAGGCTATGATCTTAAAAGGCTGGAAGAGTCTTTCCTTCACCTTTTACACCAAAGAGGATCAAGGTGGGGCAACCTTGAGTTTCTTTCTTACACCTTCCTGGTTTCCCAAGCTAAGTTCATGTTTTACTAACGGTTGCCGCCTATTTTCTTCAAAGCCATCTCGGTACTCCTCTACATTGGCACATCATGTCTGTTTTGCCTCTCGCTGCAGCCTCAAAGCTTCCCCAAATCATTCACACTCTCAAACCTATTTTTAGACTATAAATCCTTCTTCTTTTCCTTTCTGGTTCTGTCTTGTTTGGAATTGCCTGTTTCTGGTGGAGAAGAAGGGGAAGGGGAAGGGGAAGGGGAAGGGAGGAAGGGAG